ATCAGGTGGTGCTGCTGCTGGTTGTTGTCCTCCTTCCCTCCTCACCACCCTCCTGTCCTCCTTCTCTCCATGCATCCCCACCTGGTGCTTTTGTTCCCCTTGGCTGCTTGGCTGATGGATCAGTGCTCTTTCTACACCCCTGTCCTGTTTTACCTCTTTCCTGCTGGTTTTCACTCTCTACTGAAGTCCTCTCAACTCTGCCACATAGCTGATATTTTAATATGTGAAGTAGATGTGGACTAGAAGCAGAAACTAGTGTGTTTGAAAGCAGACGAGGTGGGAGTCGGTCTCGGGTCAGCTCAGGCTACCTTCGTCATCTTATGTTGTCCTCATCTTTTATACACCCTCCTGCTTTGACACAATGTAGAGCTCTCTGCACTTTCAGTCCTGATCCTCCCTCCTTGGGGTCAAGGTGTGGGCTCATTTGTCACTGCAGTCCAGAGGTTAACAGCAGTGAGGGACCGTAGTCCTGTGGGAAGTGACGAAATGCGACCTCTAAAAGCAGGACCTGTACGGTCAAGGTCCTTGGTGCCTTGGAAGATCCTAAAGTGTCCATGAGAGAACAAAACTGCACCTCTCTTGGAGGAACATCCCATCCCATCCCATCCCCATCCCCATCCTTATCCTTTCTACACTCCGTAAAACTGCTGCTGTCAGCAGTATCCCTGTTTGATGTACGCTGTGCCAGGGAGACAAGAGATGGGTTTTTGGAGGGGGAGGGGAGAGGGGATGTGTGAAAAGCAGGACGTGCTTTCCATCCTGCGGGATCGTGCACGTCTTTGTGGTTCGCGTGGTGCATGTTGTGTTTTCCGTGCTAATTTTGCACAGGAGAGGCTTACGGTATCCCATGAGATGAAGACTCACATGGCTCGTTTCCCCGCAAATCAAGGAGGAATTACAACCAGAGCTGGGCAAAAAAAATGTGATCAAAGTTCTTTCTGCTCGGTGATATAAATGGAGCAGTGCAACACTCACATTTAATTTGAATACACCAAATCAGTTTAGCAAAAGTAATACTGGTGGATAAAGAAGTCTAGAGGCCTTGCTTTTGCACTTTAAAAACAGAGTATTTTAATTTTAGCTTCAACACGAAAGAAAACCCCCGCATCCTGAAAATGAACCGAGTGGTGTGACATTCAGTTAAGCATTTGATTTGAAAAATGTCTATGCATAGGAATATTTACTCTTTGTTCTGCTCAGAAAACAAGAAAATTTTCGGCTTGGGGTCTCTCCGTAAGTATTTTTAAAATGTGAAGGAGGGGGTTTAGTCAGTGAATTCTCCTTCCATTTTGCTGCCGAAGAAACTCTGCAACCAAAAAGCTGGTTTTCTCCTGGTGGCAGTGAGGAATATAAGCTTTATTGGACCCAGAGTCTAATTCTGTGCATTGTCTTTCTACCCACTGAATAATTTTTGATGTTGATCACAGACTAGATCAGTTTAAGTCCCTAAAACTCTGCCTCGTTACAGCCTTCTCATTTTCATGCTACCACCTAGCAAGTGTCACTCTCCTCCTGATTTTTCTGGATTTTGCCTTTTATGAGAGCTAACAACAGCTGCGTCACTCTCCAAATAGAGTGTTGCATGCATCTGTGCTGCTCTTCCAGCCCTGGCAAGCTAAATACATGGTATTCCCAGTAATGTCTGGCATGTGATTTTGCTTTGAGGAAATTAATAGCTGCTAGTATACAATTCTAATATGTGATTTCCACAACAGATGCGTTATTTTGACTGTTATTTGGTTTATCTATCTTCCTGGCTTCTGTTGGCTTGGCAACCCTCTGGAGAAGAGGGGAGAAGTTCAAGCGTCGCTGTTTGCTCCTTTTCCGGAGCAAGTGCCGTTTCGGTGATTGGAGCCATCGGATGGAGGCATGCAGACGTTGTGCAAGGAAGACGGGCTGGCCGTTCTTCACAAGCCCAAATCTAATCTGCAGAAATTTAAAGGGACTCTGGCAATTTTGAGTTGAATACACAGTATTTCTCACTGTGAGGGCTTTACCCAGCATGCAAGGCTTTGTCTGGTGTGGTGGAGTGAAGGGTAGAAGAGAAGCACTTAAGGTGGTGGGATCTTTGGGGTTTTAGGGACTCCTTGCCTACTCCGTACTGGCCGGTTCTGCGTGGGGATGCTTTCTTCTTTGACCTTTGTCGGGTTCACAGAATCACAGAATGGTAGGGGTTGGAAGGGACCTCTGTGGGTCATCTAGTCCAACCCCGCTGCCAAAGCAGGGTCACTTAGAGCAGGCTGCACAAGACCTCGTCCAGGCGGGGTTTGAATATCTCCAGAGGAGGAGACTCCACAGTCTCCCTGGGCAGCCTGTTCCAGTGCTCCGTCACCCTCAGAGGGAAGAAGTTCTTCCTCATGTTCAGATGGAACTTCCTGTGCCTCAGTTTGTGCCCATTGCCCCTTGTGCTGTCGCTGGGCACCACTGTAAAGAGTCTGGCCCCATCCTCTTGACACCCACCCTTGAGATACTTATAAGCATTTATAAGGTCCCCTCGCAGCCTTCTCTTCTTCAGGCTGAACAAGCCCAGCTCCCTCAGCCTTTCCTCATAGGAGAGATGCTCCAGTCCCCTCATCATCTTTGTAGCCCTCTGCTGGATTCACTCCAGTAGCTGCCAAACACAATCTTAAAACTGAGATAACTACTGCTACAGTATTATCACAGTTCTTTCTGAAGTTAAACCACTGCCAAGTCTAAACACTCGACAATTCGTGATAGGACCTCAGGGAGGAACACAAAGCTTTTTGCAAGTGCTCTGCTTTGGTTTTATTTATCTGTCGGTCTCTGAGCACTTAATTTGGTGTGAGGATCCATTTTTAAATCTCTCTCTATCACTGGAGGGGGTGAAAGACAGTCAAGATCGTTATGCAATACTATGATTCCAGAGTTTGAGGTATCAAGAAGTGGTCCCTAGATATTGTGTGAAGATTTGCAGCGAAGCTGCACGGGTGGGTAATTCACTATTACACAGTATTTTCTCTTCTTTGTAGTTACTTGGGCTTCCAGATGTTGATGATGATGCATTTGAAGAATATAACGCAGATGTGGAAGAAGAGGAACCAGAAGCCGATCACCAACAGATGGGTGTCAGTCAGCAGTGATTTTCTGAGAAGCTAAACAATTCGGAAGCCTTTGGTACCAGGTGGGGTCAGGTGGTCCCACATTAGCCTGTTCGAATTAGCGCATCACATGGGGATATCTGGCTCCCAGGATAAAAATTTTACAAAATGGTTTAAAAACAAAAAAAAATTAATAATAATAATCTGTGATGAGCTTTGCTAAGAAGTGACCTGAATTTTGTTCCCTGCTTAGTGGGTTTTCTATGGAGTTGTCTTGGTAGCATTCTGCCGTTGTCAGTCTAGAAGTAGTTTTGTTGCTGACTTGTCTCTTTGATTTGCGTTCGAGAGTAGCGTCCGCTGACATGAATGTAGAGTTCCGTGAATGTAGGAAGCGTGTGGTGAGAGTGCCGAGTCCTCACCGGTGACCTTTCCGAGGGAACCAGCGCAGAGAGCAAACGCGACCTGCGCTGTTCTTTTTAGTTCAGCAGCTATGGTTTTTGACAAAGTACCAAACTCGGAGAGATTTCTTCTGAAAAACACTAGTTTAATAGTGCTCGGTACTGCAGAAGTGCACATGAAGGCTTAACAAAAATAATGGGAAGCGGGAAATCCAGGGGAGTGTTGGTGTCAGACATATTAATATCGTTTTGCGGACACTTGAGTTTACAAGTGCTGGATTAACAACTGGGAGTAATTAGTATCAGCAGTACACGTTATAACCAACCCTGGTACTCCTGCACCATTTGATCCAAAGCCAAATGCTGCTTTCGTACAAATCAGTTAAAAAATAGCCATCACCTATCCCACTTCTGCATGACAGCCAACTTTACGCTTCGCTGTTTTTAATACACTGCTAAATTATTACTGAAATCTCGCAGCATTGTGAATTGAAGTGCAATTTAACTTTGAAGCCATAAGGGTATAAACCAGCACCTGGCTCTTAAAATTATGCTGGACCTGTTCCTCTCCCTGGGCCTTTGAGCTGGTCTGGGCATTTACACCTCCTTGGAGTGAGCTGAAATACTGCTGCTGTGGCTGATACGAAAACTAGTGAGGTTTTACTTCGCTGGGGACTTGCTCCCCAGAGGGGTTTGGCGAGTTCTTGGTGTAAAGGAGAAGACAACCCCTCGTATTTTATACCTGTTTTGCATAGATTGAAGTGACTCGGACGAGTGCCAGACTGTGAAGATACAGGGTCTCTTTATTTACTTGACTTTTGTACTGAAAATATAAGAAGCAAAGGGGATTCTGTTGTAATACAACTGTTTTCCACCATTGAGCAAAATGTTTCTAAATTTACTCCTTTTTCCAATTTTTTAAAAATTGTGAAATTAAGGTCACACGCTTCAAAAGCCCTTTTATACAGAAATTAGCCTTATAAAACCAAACAGTGAACAAAGAGAAAATGCTTGGACAACTCCTAGAAACAACTCGTGCCATTTTGCAAACCCTGTTGTTAGCGATGTCTCCTTTTCAATAGATTTTTTTAAAGAATTTTTTTTTCAAGGTTACTTAAGAGAGCGATTTTTCTTGGTGGTTTACATTTCTGATGATGACTTGAGAGGTGCATAGCACTTGATTTTTCCAATCTGGGGCAAAAACCTGCCATAACCCGGACGGTATGTGGTGCCTGAGTATGCACGGAAGTGTCTGCAACACTGTAAAAGTCAGAGTTTAAGAATATAAAAAGTGGAAGAGAAACAGAGCTTAATGCAACTTTGTACATTCTTTCGGCATGCAGGCATAAACATGGTAGTCGCAGCACATTTTCTATGGACTAGTGACGTGAGAACCGTGGCAGTTCATTGTATAACACTGTACAGCAGCAATAGGCTTTTTGCTTACTAAAATAAAGTGTAAGACCGGTGGTTTCCATCCCTACTTTAAGTCCTTAAGTTTTTCTTTCCTCTCCAGCTATAACAGATGCCATATCCTTAAACAGAGCCTTGCTTCGGGAGAACCTTATTCTTTGTAGCATCCAGGCCTTTGGTTGCGGCTCACACGAGTAGATCTTTGGGGCTGATTTTCCTGTGCTGTAACACAATGCAAGACATAATTTACAGCAGCGCAAGCTGCAGGCAAAGTCCTGCCATTCAGGTTTGCGTGCACCCGTTTCGCTTAGGTGGAGGTGGCTGGCACCGACACGCACGTGCGCGCATCCACGTGCACGCCTGCACAAGCCCAGGGCACGGCCGCGTCGTGAGCGGGGCTGCGGGGTCGGTCTGGCTGGGGAATGACCCTCTGCCTTCTTACGGACAGGAGGTTTTCCAGCTGGACCAGTCCCACCGTCTGGTTTAGCGCGTGGCCGCGTGGACAAGTGCCGGCACGAGAGAGGGGAGGGTGCAGGGGTGGACGTGGGTGGTAGCTGAGGACCTGCAGCCGAGGGCGCCTGGCACCCCTTGCCCAGTGTTAGGGGCCCGTGGCGGAGGTGTGGGCGCAATCTCAACTGGCCGAAGCGCTGTGAAGGATCGACTCCACAGGGCTCAGTGGAGAACCGGGCTCTGGGTGGCCGCGGGGTAGGCAGGAGTTCATGAAATGAGGAAAGGTGGTGAGATCCAGTGCTAGTAATTATGCACAGGAGGGTGGAATATGTACTGCACTCTGCTGCCTTTCCCTGCATGTTGATGGAATTGTTAATGAGCGGTTGAGCATTAGGATGGTTGCAAGCAAACATAACACTGTAAATTATGTAGATATATTATTTTCTGTATTCACTAACTCGCTTTTTTTTCGGAATGCCATGTGCCGTTTGAGTGACTTCCACACCAGACTGCAAGTGCCGGACAGCCGGGGGACCCTTCTGCAGTGCTCACCCCTGCAAAATTCCCCCTGAAGCCAGTGAGATTTTGTGCAAACAGGACCTGCCGGACTGGGCGCTCCACGGGATGCGTGAGGCTTGGTCCTGCAGAGAGCTGAGCGCACTTGTCCCCTCTCACTTTGCTGGGAGCCGAATGTGTTGAGCCCTGCTGTCGAACTGAAGCGTGACCAGGCAGCACTGAGAATAAACTGTAATTTTATACATGGAAAATTTGATTTACATGTGTATTAAATGTGAATGAGCATTAATATAGAATGTATTTTATCAAAAAATATTGATTGCTTACTTTGACCAAATACATCTCTGTATTACCATGTTACGTGTTCTGTACTGACCAAATGATGCAAGACATGTGGAACTGGTTTAGTTGTATTACAAAATATTTTTATGTTTTATTTTTATTTTATTTTTCTCTCACTCTCACCATGTATTGAGGTTAGTAGCCATTCAGTAACTAACCAGGGGTGGGATGACCCAGTGGCTAGGCCAGAGAGAAGACGTGGGTTCAGAGCTCTGCCATGGCCTTGCCCTGAGCTTCAGGTTTATCTCAGTGGCTGGGAATTCAAGGCAGGCTTCCAGTTATGCATCCAGGCCTCAATGAAATTCAGTGGGAGCAGTGTAACTCCTTTGAAAGTCCCACCTTAAGCCTTTTGTAAAAGGGGCTGTTAGTATTATTTGCCCACCAGTATATAAAGTGCTTTTAGATCTGTGGGTGAAAAGAGGTCTGCATTATCATTGCCTATCCTCAAAGCAAACCATTAGTGAAAGGACATGGAAGAGTCTCCCTTTTCCCTCACCCTTCTCTCATAGGCATTTCGTGCTCTAGCTAAACATAAATATACCAGAGCAGAGCCTCTTGCAGAACTGATGCTTCTGCATATGAGTTGCATGAATGCAACAAGCAGAGTGCTGCTTGGGGGATGAGAAATACAGGGGATGCTAGAGGGAAGAGCAGATTTCAGAAATGTAACAACTAGTTTGGGTAGCGGGGGCAAGAATGAGAAAGGCCGCTTTCAGAGAGATGCTGGGATTTCCGAGACAGCCCAAACCATCCTGCCACGTATCTGCTTATTGAACCTATGCAGTTTATAACAAAGCTGCTCTGGACATTACTGGGTCCTTGAGCTCAGTCATGTTTATCTATTAGTGTCCTGCCTGATGAATGCATGGGGATGGTTGAGAGAGGAAGGGATGAAGAAGCAGCAAACTAAAAAGGCATCTGCTCCTCTCTTCCCCAACATCGTTGTTTCTGGTACTGGGTGAGTGAGTAGGAGCAGCAGTCAGGGAGCTGGAAGCTGCTCTGTTAGGTGCATGGTAGCATCTCTTAAAGGGACGTGCTCACGAGAGGAAAAACCGGCAGACGGTTTCCTCGCAGAAAGGTGGGGAATAGCACACCCCCGGACAGCCTGAACCCTACCAGACTTCAGCTCCAACTCCTGCCCTGCTCTGGGATGTTTTCCAGGCAGGTTCCCTCTGTGCGCAGTGCTGTGCCTTTGAAAATCGCGTGCCGGTGAGAATGCCACTGCTGATGGGAATAGCCAGAGTTAGTTTTCCTCCCTCCGTGACCTGCAGGCTAGCGCTGCGTCTCGGCGCCGTGTCCCCTGCAAGGTGTGCTGTGCTAGGTGGTGGCTGCGGGCAGCAGGAGGGAGTTTTTGCTGCAACGCCGCTCCATAGGTAACTGCCCTTTCCCCCTCTGAGAGGTGGGACAGGAGACTGTGACAATGAAAGTGACTGCAATAAGGTGACGGGAGTTGCCTCGGCAAGCTTGCCATGCAGGACAGATTCCCAACCTCTTTCAGCAAGCTTCCTGATCTTTCACTGGGACCCAGGGCTGAAGTCCATGGCTATTTTACTCACAGCCAGCTTCAGCTGTGGCAGGAGGCAAGGTTACCACTTCATCCACCCTTACCTTGCGTCCATCCTTACCCCGTGTCCATCCTTCCCTTGTGTCCATCCTTACAACTCTGTTCTTCTTAGAAATTCCCGCTCCCAGGGGAGACAAAGAAGGGGGAAGAGAGGGGAAGTGGAGGCGGGGGAGAGAAACGCGTCTCATCTTCCACCGCTTGCAGCCGGGTGCATCAGAGCCGCAGCTCGGCGCAGTGTGCGTTACTGAGCTCCGAGGTCCTTTCTGTGCAGACAGCACCTTCCCACAGGGGCATGAGGTGGTGCAGGAGATGTGTTATCCCTTGGGGACCCATGAGAGGTCCATGCTGCACAGGGGTTA